TTTTTTTTTTTTTGTTTGTAGCGATAGAATCTTGCTATTTTGCCTAGGTTGGTTTCAAACTCCTGGGTTCAAGCAGTTCTCCTCCCTCAGCCTCCCAAAGTGCTGGGATTACAGGCATGAGCCACCATGCTGGGCCTTAATTTTAATATATTCAAACATGTGAACCTTTTTTTAATAGTGAACATTTCCGTGTCTTAAGAAATTGGTTTCTTACTATAATTAGTATAGTAGTTACAGGTGTGAGCCACTGCACCTGGCCACTATTCCTGACCTTCTGTCTTTTCATATAAAAATTTTAATAATTTTACCAAATTTAACGGAAAACCCATTAGGAATTTTGATTGTAATTGCATTGACTCTTTAGATCAATTTCGTCTTCATATTATTAACATTACCACTAACATGGTATATGTCTCCATTTATTTAGTACTTGTTTAAATTCTCAGTAAATTTTATAGTTTTCCCTATAGAGGTATTAAACATCTTTTTGTTAGATTTGTTCCTAGATAACTGATAATTTCTGGTATTGAAATATATTCTCTTTAATTGTATTTTCTGATTGTTTTCTGCTGATATATAAAAAAGTGCAAGCCAAAAGAAAAGACAACAAAAGACATGAATAGATATTTCCTAGAAAAGGAACTATGAAGAGATGCTCATCACCACCAAGGAGCAGAGAATTACAAATCAAGAACACAGTGAGGTACTATTTTACACCCATTTGATTGACAAAAATTAAAACATCTGACAGTATTGTATATTGAAGAGAAAGTACATCCACAGGATCTTACACATTACTAGAGGGAGTACACTTTGGAAAGCATTTTCACGTTTCTTCTAAAGTTATACTTTGTGACTCAATAGTTCTGAGATAATATCCAAAGCAAATTCTTGTACATGTAAAATAAGAGAGACAGTATTGAAAATTTACAAAAGCAAAAACCTGTAACCAACCTAAATGTCTGTCAGTGGAAAAAGATCAGTAGACTCTGGTTTACTCACACAATGAAATGTTATACAACAAAATTAATGACTGCTGCAATGTAGATAATATGAATGACTATTGACAGTGTGATATTAAGTAAAACAGATGTACAGCACAAAACCCTTTTTATAAAGTTGGACAACTAAGTAAATACTTTTTAGAAATATTCATAGATGCAACATGTCTATTAGAGAAGGAAGAGAATAATCAACATACGATTCAAATGATAGTTTTCTGGGGTTGGGGGAGCAGGGCTTAAATAAGGGATATGGAGCATATATCACAAACTGGTAGTCCATTGGCTTAATTTAACCCAAAAATGTATGCGGCTTTTCAGCTTTGCCTGCGTCCTTCCCCCTTCTTTCTTTTTTTCCTCCTTTCTTCCTGCCTGCCTGCCTTTCTTTCCCTTCTTCCCTCCCTCCCTCTTTCATTCCTTCCTTTCTTCCTTCTCTATCTCTTTCATTTATCCAATCTTTACATTTATTTTAAGTTAATAATGGTGATAATCATTGTGTTATTTGGTAAGCCAGCTATAACTGTTGCCTTTGTTTGGGGGTAGGTCCATGTACTAGGTGAGCCATTGAATTGTCAGCAGAAGTGTTACGTCACTATTGGGTCAGAGCACTTAATTGCTGTAGCAAGACCTTCCTGACCTCTCTTTTCTCCCCGTGTTGTGGTGGCCAGCAACACTGAATACTGACTGTACAGTCAGCCTAGAGCCCTGAGAGACTAATCAGCAGAACCACTCTGTTAGCCTTTAGTTGGCACATGTCATTAATGAAAAATAAACCTTTGTGGTTTAAAACCACTAAGATTTGCCCCTACAGCATAATCTAGATTTTCCTGATTGAGACAGTTCCCTACATTTAAAAATCAAGATATTTTACATAAAAGTCTAAATTGTAATCATAAAAATCAAAATATCTGGCTATGCTGACCTAAATTTTTTAATGATAGCAATTGACTAAAGGTGACTATGAGTTGCCCCCTTACCACCAGACTTGTGCTTCTCAGTTCACCAGTCTCCTTGATATTTGCAGCCCCTAATACACAGTGTGGGAAACAGTATGTTCTGTGTTTAAGTGGCCTGATTTGCTTATTGTTTATTGTTTAAAATTAGCATTTTCAGTCTTATAGGTAGGTTCTGTAAAAATGCGAAATAAAATAGAAGTGACTACCTGAATTTCAGAGGAACTATTAATAATTCAGCTAATGAGTTCAACAGGGAGGTAAGCAGGCTAAGTGACATTTTTTGATGGTATGAATAAAGATCAGAGCCAAGAATGTGTTCCTGTTGCAAGGTACAGGAGGATACTTTGGGTTTCTGGCTAAAGTCAACAATAGCATTTGCTTTTGATAGTACCTCAGTCTTTTAAAAAATGTTTTCTGTACGTATCTCATTTATTCTTAGACCAATTTCATGCATCAGAGCAGGTTAATTTTCAACCAGCTTGATAGATGAGGAAACTAAGATATTGAATAAATAATTGACTTACCTGAGGTCAGTGAACTGGGCAGAAGCAAAGCTGGAATTGTGACTCTAGAGCTTTTAACTATACTTTGGGAAATTCGAATAATAAGCTTGTTTTGCTTCAAAAGTCAATATGCCAAATCTGAATGTCCCATATGAGTTGTTCGTTTACAAAAACTCATAATTTCACTTCCCAGGCATTTAAGAGAGAATGCTATTTATAGATCTTATTAAATATAGTATGAATGTGAGTCAGATTCTCCAGTTGTCTGCCCTAAAATGTTTACACTGGCATGGACAGTCCAAAAAGTGTAATAGAAGTATTATTATTAAAACTTTAAAGATATTTCCCCCTAGTTGTTTTATCTTCTATCGCTTTGCTCAGGCCACTATGAAAAGTAGTTTGAATGCATTGATTAGAGCGTGACTAGGCTCTGGGGAGTACAACCTTGGATTGTTCTGTAGGATGAAAGGAAACAGTGTAAGGTTAACTAGCATTCCTAGAAATAAGAGACTTCACTCAACTACATTTCTGTTATATAATCTGAATATGTATCACATATGTACCAAATTGCCCTAAAAGCTGTTAAAATTTAAGAGAGGGTAATCCCATTTGAAAATGCAACCACCATTTTGTTCAGGAAAGCAGACAGAACCATAAATCAAATTTAAAACCAGATAATTCAGTCATCTCCCTGATTTGGTCAAAATTTGTTGATTTCTTTTGATAATTAGGAAATCAAGTTGAAAAAGAAACCTCACTTTGTGACCTAAGGCCTAATTCACTGATGGACTTCTCTGAAGATAAATTAAGAGATGGGGCAGTTTCTGTTAAATATTAATATTATGATCTAAAAACTGTTGAAACTCTACAGGAAGATGGCTGTTTTCCCCCTAGACTTTCAAGATAGAGAATAGGGTAGGAGAACCACTAGAATTATCAAACTGTAATGTTAATTTTTTATTTTCTTAGAGGAATTATAATTATTTGCTGCTCACACAAAGGAATTTTCCTCTCTTTTCTTTTACATAGATCCATTTGAACCACAGCGACGTCTCCCCGCGAAGAAAAGTCGACAACAACTTCAGCGAGAAAAAGCCCTTATAGAGCAAAGCCAAAAACTTGGACTTCAAGATGGATCAACCTCATTACCTCCAGAGCAGCTGCTTTCAGCACCAAAACAGAGAGTTAACGTTCAAAAACCACCTTTTTCTTCCCCTTCTCTTCCGAGTCATTTCCCTCTCACCTCTCCTGTTGGTGATGGACAACCACAGGGCCTTGAAAGTCAGCCAAAGGAACTGGGACTTGAGAATTCCCATGATGGTCACAACAATATTGAGATTCTACCTCCAAAGCCAGACTGCAAACTGGAGAAAAAGAAAGTGGAATTGTTAGTAAGTCTATATGAAAAGTCCATGAGACTTTTCATCTAAACCGTTTTTTCCCAGTGGGCTTTAAGGAAATGTAACTTGTTTATTTTAACATTTTCTCTCTTTTATATTCAATCCTAGAAATGTGATGTATAAACTATTGAAAAACAGCTACCACCTAAATATAAGCTGGATGCTGTTAGTCATTCTGTATGTTTTATGTTATTGAGTCTTCATAACAGCCTTAAAATGCATGTTTATTATTTAAACTTTATAGATGAGATATCTGGGACTCAGAAAAGATGATACCTTCCTAAAGCTAATACACTGCTAGTAAATAGTAGAGCTGAGATTTACATATGAGTCTGTCTGGATCCGAAGTTTATGCCTTTTACACTCAGCAGAAGCAGTTCTTTTTTTTTTTTTTTCTGTTCTTTTTTTTCTTTTGAGACAGAGTCTCGCTCAGTTGCCCAGGCTGGAGTGCAATGGCGCGATCTTGGCTCAGAAGCAGTTATTATATGCATAGTGCCTCTCCCCAAATTGACCCCGTTCTTCATCTTCCAGACTATTTCCATTGGCCCAGAAATTGGAACTTGTGGAGAGACATAAAGGGATGGTCAAAGGAAAGAGTGTAGGAAATTTAGGGGACTAATGATAAAACTCAGTTCATCATTAGGTTTCTTTTTATTTATTCTTTACTGTCTTTGTATTAGAAACAACCTTCATAATTTAGCTACACTGCTCTTGTGGAAGGTGCCATTTTTTGATTTGCAAATTCTTAGAATTTTTTATTTGATAGCTTGTGTTTTAATGTATACTCTTATTTCTTTGTTTCCTGCTGATTTATCACTCACAGAGGAGAAGGAATGACTTTTATCTCTGTTTTCTCTTTTCTGAGTTCTTTTCAAAGTATCTTTTTTTTTTCTAATCTCTGACATCTTTTTAATCTCTGCTGATCCAGATTCTATCCTGTGAATTTAAAATGTTTCCTGTCCACTAGGGGTTTACAACTAAGAAATCATTTTGACAAGAGTTATAAAACCACATGAATTTATGAAATCTACATTGAACAAGTGCATACATTAAAGTGTCTCTAAGTGTAGTTTACCAACAAAGGCCTGAGACAAATAGGAGGTAAGTTTACATTGAGCTGGACAATTCAGATTAGATGTCATAGGGAAACTTATTCTTTTTTTAGATACTTGGAAGAATTTTCATAAAAGACATGTAACCTAAACCATTCACGTAAAGGAGAAATTTTGAGGTTTTAAGGAGGAGGAAGGAAAGCTGTGTCCTAGAGAATGTTTGGAGATGCTATCTCATTTCTCTCGGAGAGATGGCAAAGGATGAGCCAGAGAACAGTAGAGAATTAAATAAATGAGGAAGGAGGACAGACGCGGTGGCCCACACCTATAATTCTAGCACTTTGGGAGGCTGAGGCAGGCGCATCTTGGCCAACATGGGGAAACCCCGTCTCTACCAAAAATACAAAAAAAATTAGCTGGGCGTGGTCGTGCGTGCCTGTAGTCCCAGCTACTTGGGAGACTGAGACACAAGAATTGCTTGAACCTGGGAGGTGGAGGTTGCAGTGAGCCGAGATCGTGCCACTGCACTCCAGCCTGGGCAACAGAGCGAGACTGTCTCAAAAAAAAAAAAAAGAAAACAGAAATGAGGAAGGATCAGAAGCAGAAGCAGAAGCAGGGGATGAATAAGTAGAAAATTAAAGAAATGAGAAAGGATCAGAGATGCCTGCCTAGCAAATTCACTAATGCAGCAAGATACCATGAAGCTCTCCTGAGGGCTAAAGGCCGCAATCAAAATAATGGTTAGAGAAATTCCAGGTGTCAGTGTTGTAGATCATATGGGAGAGAGTGCAGGGTGAGCTGTGGAACTAAGGTGCCTAGTGAAGAGATGCCTGCAATAGTAAAAGTGAGAAATGACCAGTCCCAACACTAAGGTGTAGGAACGGAGAGATAGGGACAATTTTGAAAGTGGTTACTAGATTTGGGAATAGATACGTGTGATATAATGGCTGTAAGAAGTGACAGTAATAGGAATAAATAGTTTTGCCAGTACCTTGTTTAATTTGAGTTGGCATCAAGCTCATGACTTTATGGGAAATTTTAATATATTTATTTTAGAATTGGACAGATTGTAAGACAATACATGTTTTCAGATCTTTGCATTTTTTTTCTTTAGCCCAGCATTCCAGTCTTAGTTCTTAGTGTTTTACTTCGTTTAAAAATGTCTGAGTTGGGCTGGGACAGTGGCTTACACCTGTAATCCCAGCACTTAGGGAGGCAGAGGCAGGAGGATAGCTTGAGCCTAGAGTTCGAGACCTACCTGGGTAATACAGCAAGACCCCGTTCTCCACAAAAAGGAAAAAAAAAACAGACAAAAATAAAGTCTAAGAGTTGGGAAAAAGTGAACAAATTGGAAGAAAATATTAACGTATGAAATAAACATTGGTTATTGTCTGAAGCATGTTAACGTGGTGGAGACTTTATAGAAAACTCTAAAAGGTGTAAGTAATATGACATCAGCTACAGACCAATTTTTATTAATCTCTATTCTGCATATAATACATAATTAACTTACACAAATTCCTTTGTACTCCTAAACACATGCACAGTATTCTGGCTTCTAGTTTGTGGGTTCCTAGATTATATACATATTACGGATTTCAGAGGTCCAATTTATGTAAGCCCCTTTACTTTAGATCATAGTCTTTGTTCCCATTAGAACAAAATAATGAACTGCAGGTGGGTTTCTTTTAAGAGGACTTTTGAAAGAACATATACATAAATCTTCTTGATTAAATTTTATACTTAGGGGACTGAGACTGGTAAGGTGTGGGATAGGGTAGCAGTTTCTTTTTCTTTCATAAACTCATTTTTATGCTTTTTTTGCCCCCTAGGCAAGAAAAATCTCGTTGGGAAGTCCTCCAACAAGAACAACGGCTAATGGAAGAGAAAAATAAACGTAAAAAAGCTCTTTTGGCTAAAGCTATTGCAGAAAGGTGAGGCACCTGAACCAGGAGAGGCTGTTTGTAACCTGTAACCCGTTCTGTCATGTGTTATATTTATTTTCCCACGTCTCTTTTAATAAACTGATATTTTTTCTTCGACCATTACTTTTAAGTAAACAAATTATGCTTTATAAGTGATACTGAAATTCCAATTATAATTTATTAAGGAGAACTTTTTAAGCATAGAGCATATTAAATTTGTAAATATAGTTGCAGTTAAAACTTAAAGACCTTCATTAGTGCTTCCAGTTTTAGCCATCTACACAATCATAAGGGAAGCAGTAAATAGCTATCAGTATATGTAAATTAGCAACAAATGCAAGTTTTAATTTTTATGTAGGGAGGCCTTAATCATTTGATGTGTAGAGGAATAAGGTTTTCTACATAAGTGACATACTCCCATGAATCTTAATTGTATTTCCTATGGGCGTTTTCTTAAATAATGTGTCCCGCCTCCACAAGTAGAAGATACATGATATAGTTTAACTTTTTATTGATGACTCAGGGTCGTTATTCTGAGCACTGTGTGAGATTCAATTTTTCTTTCACCTTCCAGTGTCTATCAGCAGCCCCTTCACATTTACTGTGTTGTACCAGCCCTATACAACAACATTCCCATTGGAATCATTCTTCCCATCCCCCACCACTCTTGCTGAGTTTGTCGTTTCTGTCTAATCTCCTGTGGCCTTAGGAAACTAAACTTAGTCAATAAATCAATGGTTGTGAATAGTGAAAAATAAATGCAAGGAAATATTTAGTGACATTTTCTTTTTAGACTTCCAGAAAAGTCTGTCAAACTGTTACTGCTTGAAGCTAGAATATGTGTAGGGGCAGGAGAAGAGCGAAGAGGGTGATAGGTATAAGAGTAGTTTAGAATTTTGTCTACCAGAGGAGTGAGTGTATTTGAGAAATCATGATTTTTCTTTTTCTACTACTGGTACACCTTTATCTTTCTTGAAGCACAGGAAATATGCAACTCACTGAGTTACTATGTTTCAAGGGAAAAAACCGGCAGATAAAAGAGTAGTGCCTTCTGTTTTTTTTTTTTTTGTAAGTGATTATGTAAAAATAAAGCATTTTAGTAGTCTTTGATTTCTAAGAGATGGGAAGGCTGTTTTCTGTGGTTTTACAAAAACATGTACAGGCTCGGCAGTTCTTCTTATAAGTGTTTTTGATTTTAGACAGAAAGCACCAGTATAAACAGAAGTGTAGGGAAATGCATCATGTTTGAACTATTAATAAAAGGACAGTGAAGTACTTGACATTAAGTGAACTTTTGTAGGCAGAAAGGAAGGGTAAATGCCGAAGAGTAGAAATCTAGAGAATGTGCTGTGTAACATAGTGGACTTATGTGGGGATTTTTCTTCTTCATTCACAGTGTGTGTGAAAATTTGAAATGAGTGAAATCATGATTAAAGGGTTGCTTTTTTATTTGCTTGTTCCATTTCTTAAGTATATATTGTACTTGGGAGAGGGGATTAAGAAATGATGAGGTTGGATGTGCTTTTAAATAAGGAAAATGAGTGTTTTGGTGTTCAACTCCATAAAGAATTTGGGGAACTAGTAGTTTTCCTAGAGAACAAGAATCAAAGCAATAAAAGTTTGGGGAAATGGGTCCCAAGAAAGTTAAAACTAAATGGATGTTCTCAGATGTATAAAGAGGTGTGGTTTAGTATAGGCATCTGTCTGTTCTTAATGGCAGGTAAGTATCAGACAAATGAAAATGGGCTTAGGAAGAGGAAGAATTAAAGACTAGAAATTTGGAAAGCTCTGTTGAATGTTTCAATGTAAAGGGAATACAGATATATTCTTTTAGTGTTTGTTCTCTTTACAGAATGAGTATCTACAAATGAACTATTTGCTGAGTTTTTTTTAGTCTTGTTATTTGTTTATGCAACATGCAAATATAAAATTTCAAAAACTCAAATGTTAACCAGCATTTATTTTATTTCAATTTTCCTGAGTTTTTTCTAACTTTTAAAACATAAATTATAAACATATATACAGTATCTTGCTTTTTCGCTTACATTGTATATGAACCCATGGTTTTAAAATGTTCTTACTTTCCCACTCACATACCTGATTTTCTAGATCCAAAAGAACTCAGGCAGAAACCATGAAACTAAAGCGGATCCAGAAGGAGTTGCAGGCTTTAGATGACATGGTGTCAGCTGACATTGGAATTCTCAGGAACCGAATTGATCAGGCCAGCTTAGACTATTCATATGCTCGGTGAGTTGGGGAAATTGAACAAGGAGTATGATTTAATTAATGTTTATTGCCAGCTATTCCAGGGGCTTTTATGTATATATCATAATTTAAGCCTCAAAACAACCCCATTCAGTGGTGTATTTATTCCTCTTTTGTGCTAATTCAGGTGTCTGCTCTTCAGTGATGTCTTCCTTAACTCAGCCCTACTAGTTAACCTTGTTCGTGTGCCATTAGAGCAGATCTTGCATTATTTATTTACATTTTAGTCTTTGCTGCTAAACCCTCAGCTATTTAATGTTTGGAAGTTTTTTATTCATCTTTCAGGATCCAGCAAAGTAAATATCTGAATGATTTGCCCAAAACTGTTATTCTAACACCATGTCTATGTTCTTTCCATTAAAGTTTTTGATATCTGACACAGTCCTATAGGATTGAAGTCTAGTTCTCACTTTAGCTTTCATCAGAGTAAGAGGATCTAGTTTAGTTTTTAAAAGCTTATGAATATTTTAAGCAGATCCACTGTCTTGGAAATTTGAAATATTTTCTCTTTTCTTTTTTTTCAATTATATTCTTATGAGATGGTTTAATATATGTTTCCTTGGTTTCAACCATTGGCTTTTTTAAAAGAGAAAAAAATACCATGGAGTATTTTTAAAATGAACTAACACATGTAATGAATTACATGGACTTTGCAGACAGATAAAAGGGCAAAAAATTATATCCAACTTCAGGGTTTTCAGCCCTTTCAACATTGCTTTAATCATACTGGTTTGTCTTTTTTTGCAAGGGAATGCTGTGTTAATGACTCGATTTTGTATCTTTCTCTGTTACACTAGAAATCAATCAAAATGCCTCATTAGGCCAGGGTAAACCACAACATCAGAATGTTTATATAACAGTTTATTAAAGCGGAAATGCTTGATTGTGGTTTTTAATTAACTGTTGAGTGTTTAAGAAAGAGACTTGTGGTTGTTCTTGTGATTCTTGTAATTGTTGTTGGACCATATGCTGTTAGACTTAAAGGGTTGTCTTTATTAATTAACTACCTAAATGAATGCCATCAGTAGCTGATAACCAGAACTTCCAGGTTTCCATTAATAAGGTCATTAAGGGAGGTAACAGAGATTTTATTTAAGATTAAACTAAGCCTTGATTTGTAGCATATTTTATTCTCTGTAACATAAGTTTGCCAGAGGAACATTTTTATGCCTTTGTAGCCTTTTATATGAATAATTCATATTATAAGGTACAAGTACTAGGTACCTCAATAGAAATTTGAGGCCGAGCACGGTGGCTCACGCCTGTAATCTCAGCGTTTTGGGAGGCCAAGGCAGGCGGATTACGAGGTCAGGAGATCACGACCATCCTGGCTAACACAGTGAAACCCTGTCTCTACTAAAAATACAAAAAATTAGCCAGGCGTAGTGGTAGGCGCCTGTAGTCCCAGCTACTCGGGAGACTGAGGCAGGAGAATGGCGTGAACCTGGGAGGCGGATCTTGCAGTGAGCCAAGATTGCGCCACTGCACTCCAGCCCCGGCGACAGAGCGAGACTCCGTCTCAAAAAAAAAAAAAAAAAGAAAGAAAAAGAAAAGTAATTTGATTTTGTTTTAATTCTGTTCTAGTGGAAACTGGAGAAAGATGCCCTTTCATATTCAGTATTATATAAGAAATGTCATAGTTTTAGCCTTCTAAGAACCACAAAGAAGGTGGGGTTACTAAAGGAAAAAACATCCTATAGTCTCTAAGTATCCTAAATGAAATTTTAGTAAATTTTTACATCTTTAATAAGTTACAGATGACAGTTTCTCATGTTACTAATATTGATTTAGTTGAATGTAAGTAGATGTTGTGTGCCGCTGTTTTTATTTGTGAGATGGAGTATCACTCTTATTGCCCAGGCTGGAGTGCAGTGGCGTGATTTCTGCTCATTGCAACCTCCGCCTCCCAGATTCAAGCGATTCTCCAGCCTCAGTCTCCTAAGTAGCCCAACTACAGGCACCCACCACCACACCTGGCTAATTTTTTTTATTTTTAGTAGAGATGAGGTTTCACCATGTTGGCCAGGCTGGTCTTGAACTCTTGACCTCAGGTGATCCACCTGCCTCGGCCTCCAAAGTTCTGGGATTACAGGTGTGAGCCACCACACCTGGCCGTGTGCTGCTATTTTCAAAAGCCGAAGCTCTTGCATTCAGTCAAAGGAAAATATAGGCAATGGTGATTAGAACCATATAGTGTGTCTTGTTCATGTGTAAGATTAAGGTATCATTTTCTAAATTTGCATTTGTGGTTACTGAGAAATTACAGATTGGTAAAATAATAATATGGTCCAGATTTCGAGTGAAAGATAATCCCTAGGACAGTCAGTTTTTATGGGAGATTTCCTTGTTTTTTCTTTTTTTAATAAAAATAATATCTTAGTTCTGTAGTATTTGGTACAATGCTATGTCCACAGAAGGTTCTTGGATAGTGAATAGGCCAGAACTTGCTTTAAAATTGGCTTCTGTAGAGCAGTGTTTGGAGAGACACCTCTGAGAAGACTGGCACTTTGAGTGAGCCAATTTGAGAGAGTTGCTGCTGCTCCTGCTGCTACTGCTACTGTTCACCACTGGGATTACAGTGTTGCCATATGCTGTGCAGACCAGCTTACAAAATCAAGAGTGGCTGCATGTAGAACATTTTTTTGAATCACTGTTGACCATCTAGGTTTCATAGACACCTTCATACACACAAACATACACCCACAGACAAATATTTTTAAATCACTTTATGAATAATTTTTAAAAGTAAGATTAAAAGGGATTGTGTAAAACAAAGATTTTAATAAGAATATAAGCCTGGTAACCATCTTTGTATCAAGTAATGTTTGACTCACAGACATGAAAAGCTGAGAGAATATAATTACATTACATCCTTGTAGCAACAAGGGATAGTCTAGATACTTGTAAAATATTGGGATTAAGTTCTCCCTGCTGAAATGATTAACTCTATGATAATATCATTTTTCCTTTCTATGCTTAGAAATATATTTTTCATTCACTGATTCTCAAGTTTGAGAAAATTCACCTAGGATATGTTTTGCTGAAGACTCATCTGAGATTTCACATATGATCGATTTTTATCATCTGGACTCTAGAATGTGTCTCTGCATTTCTATTAGTTTCCTAGGACTGCCATGACAAGTAATCAAAAACTGAGTGACCTAAAACAACATAAATTCCTTCTCTTGCATTTCTGGAGGCCACATACCCAAAATCAAGGTGTCAGGTTTGTAATGTCTTCAGAGACTCTAGCTATCCATTTCTTGCCTCTTCCAGCTTCTAGTGGCTGTGGGCATCCCTTGGCTTGTGGCCACGCCACTCCATTCTGTGCCTCCATAGTTATATTGCCTTTTCTTCTGTCTCAAAACTTCCTCTGCCTTTCTCTTAAAAAGATGCATGTGATTACACTTAGGGTCCAACAGTATAATCTGAAATAAACTCCTTTCAAATCCTTTACCTTAATCACATATTTTTCCATATAAGGTAATTTTCACTCATTTGTCATAGAAAGTAATATTCACAGGTCCCAGGAATTAGGAATTCTCTTTGGGAGGCCATTTTTTAGCCTACCACAGGATTCATCTTTTGATTTCTGTAACAGTGGCAAAATGTCTTCCTCTGTCAGTTGTCTCTACTTTGCTAATACTGGATAGGCAGAAATGAAAACTAAAAACAGTTTTCAAAAATGGTGTTTTCAGTCTTCTTTTATACCTTCTGGAGGTGACATAGTACTTTGTACAGCACAGTAAAGAAGGTCAACAATGATAACTTATTGCATCATCCTTTTAGATCATTATTTTCTTATTTTAATTTTTTATTGCGAAAGAGAATAATTGATAAGTAATGATGAAATAATTCCTAGGATGATGAAATGGCAGAATGTTTCAAGATGCAGGAAATATAAAAATACTGCAATAATCCTCTATCTTAGATTTATGAAAGGGTTCATTGGACCTCTCTAGTAATTGCAAAATATAATTTATTTTGTTTTTTTAAATAAGTAAATTTTCTCATTGTTTGAAAGACTTAAGAAAAGGTAAAAATTATGAAATGCTAATTTATACAAATAGTGAGAACTGCTCAGAAAAGGAACTGAAAAACTAAAAGTGGACCCGTGGAACCCAGTGCTATACAGAGGGTTAATGGTTGAGTTTTTAAACATTTCAGGGGATACCAAAACAAAGAGATACTTTCTAAAATCCTTTAAAAATAACTTTCATTGATCCATTCCATCCCCCTTTAAAATAACAAAAGAATTGTATAATTACATTTCCAGTTCACTCTGTCTTACTATGTTATGTATAATGCTCTTATTATTTTGTTCCAGAGTGTCATCATACACTACTTTGGTATTACCCACCTGACTGTAGGCTGGTAGTGCAGTTTGTGAAACTAATCAATATTTTAAATGTTAAATCACTCTGTAGGAGAGTATATATTCGTATTTCTGACCAGAAAGACTTTGAATAAATAAACAAAATACAAAATCTTCAGTGATTTATCCAGGGTGATAGATCAGTGGAAACCAAGGGACCTATTTGCAGATGTTAATTTCAATTCAGTATTCATGAGTCCATACTGTAAATCTCTACTGATTGATTTTGACTGGCTGAAGGAGACCACAGACTTGCAGAGAAGGGAGGTTTGAGTCACGGTCAGGTCAGGGCATTCATACACCTATTGAGAATGTCAGAACCCCTGTCTTGTTGCAAGAATATTACATGAACAGGGTATGTTATAAAGTATGGAAATAAGGGAACTAGGTATCCAGTAGAGTTCCTTTAGAACAATTCTTTTAACATAGAGGGTTATTGAAAGATAATAGGCACTCTCTTACATTTACTATATTTAATAAAAAGGAAATATGATAGATTAACATTATGTAAATAAGTTTTCAAGTATAAATACCAGGTCCCTAAATTTTGTATAATCTTAATTTTAGATTCATGCTTACTAATGCATTAACAGTACTTTTTGATTCTGGTGTTCTAAAGGAGAAGTTCTGTTTCTTGAGCACCTACCATACACGAGACTGGAAGCTTGCCCCGTTTATACTGTTTAATACTCAAAACTCCTATGAGGTATTTTATCATCATTGTTTTACAGATAGACCAAGACTCAGCTTAAGTAACTGCCCAGAGTCTCTGTACTGGAATTTTCAATTATTGCATGCCTCTTCCCCAACCCCTTCCAGAGGAACCTGACTGTGTTTTGGACTCAAGATGCTGACCCTGGGGCATACCTAATTAGAACAAAGATGGGCTACCGACTCCAGTACATTTAATCCATAGGCTAAGTAGTGGTTCATGGCATGGCCTGACACTAAGAGTTCTGTTTAAGCTGAGATGAGCTGGGCAAACCTAGGTTCTTCTCTGAGACTATGGAATTGGATCACTGAGAGATTGAGTGGAGTGAATTTGATACAGATTGCAGGTGGTGGCCATACTGGGCTGTGAGTATGATAGGAGAGCTGAAATGAGAGAAAATGTGTTGCTTCTAAGCATTGAAGAGAATAGCCTTTGATTCTGATGACATGACTATGAAATTGCCTCTTGCAGCCTACAATAAAACCCAATTTTTACCTGAGCTAGTTTGACTGGATATCTGTTCTTTGCATCCACAAAAAGCCTTAACCAAAACGGGCACACACGGTAATTGTCAGGAACGTTTTGAACCCTGAGTTGTCTAAAATGAAAGCCATTAATTATTTTCACTGTATTTTTTTCCAAGACAGAGAATCCTAAATTAGGAGATACACCTGTTTCTTTTTGCCATAACTCTTGTACTAGAAGCTATGCATTACACTAAGTTGATATAGGCACTCATAACAGGTAAAGCAGCGTGGCCTTCACAACTGCTAATGGTAATGAAATTGAAGAACTAGTTGGAAATCAACCTTTTTTCTGACAAAGAGGAAGGACCCTCTTGTTGCAAAAAGAAAAGCAACAAATTGTATAGAAAAGGCAAAAGACAATAAATTAAGATACGATAACTCTTCTTTTTGTACTGACCTAATGCAGAAGAAAAAAAGTGAGATTGCACGGTGACTTCTCCGGTAGAATTGCTCTGCTTCACACAAGACTTTACATAAGATTACCTATCAACAGAGTTTATACATGTATAAATATGTAAAATTTCCTACTAAGTGTAAGTGGAGTAGTGGAGAGAGTGAGAACAACTTAACCCAAGGATTCTCAAGTGGGAGCATTTTTGTCCAATAAAGGGACATTTGGCAATGCCTGCAGACACTTTTGCTTGTTACAACTTTTGAGAATTACTGGCTACTAATGGGTAGAAGCCAGTGATGCGCTTTAGCATCCTGCAGTGTGCAGGACAGCTTCTCACAACAAATAATTATATGGCCCAAATTGTCAGTAGCGCCAAGATTGAGAAATCCTGCATATAGCTCTCATGAGGTTTTCTACTTGATGTTTATGTCTTGCTGTCACCCAGTATCATTTTGCTGGGTGTGCTCTGTCCCATTTATATTCATCTCCCAACCACTGTCCGTATCTTTCTCCATCAGAATTTGTCTCTTTTTTTCTAATTTATTAATCAAGGGATACGATTTTCCACTTTCTCCATCTCTTGTCTTACTTCTTATAAATTTAACCAGCTGTGTGCTAAAGCTAGCTTACCCTGGCTCATGTGGATTTTGTGTATCTCTTCCCAGTTCTGCATTCAGTAATATCACCTTGGTGGCTTGAAATTGGACAGGGTGGTAGTAGTTATCCCATGGAAATGTAAACGCTACAAATCAGGGCTCCCCATCCTCCCACCCCGGAAGTAGCATACCACTGAATTAACCTTTTAGACTGCCTTCTCTCAAAAACAGCTTTGGAAAGAAAACATTCGTGCAGAATGATGTGTTTTATTAGGTGAATTCAAGTAAGGATATTGTGAAAGTTTCAGCAGCCATGGCCTAGTTTGTCTAACATGTAGACAAGTGTTTGTAAAGCAGTAATATCCATATCTTCATTATCTATTTTTTCCCAATTTTGGAGTTTAATTATTGTTTCTAGATCCTCTTTTGAATATCTTCTTCAATGGAAAACTGATGGACCTATCTTTATACACATCCTTACAGGAAGCGGTTTGACAGGGCTGAAGCAGAGTATATTGCAGCAAAGCTAGATCTGCAGCGCAAGACTGAGATAAAAGAGCAACTCACTGAACACCTTTGTACAATCATACAGCAAAATGAGCTCCGAAAGGCCAAGAAGTTGGAGGAGTTGATGCAACAACTAGATGTACAAGCTGATGAAGAGACTCTGGAGCTTGAGGTGGAGGTAGAGAGATTGCTACATGAACAAGAAGTAGAAGCAAGGAAACCAGTGGTTCATTTAGAGAGGCCGTTTCAGCCTGCTGAGGAGAGTGTGACTTTCGAATTTGCAAAAGAGAACAAAAAGTGTCAAGAACAAGCTGTTTCCCCAAAGGTAGATGAACAGTGTGGAAATTCCAATAGCATCCCCTTTCATAGTCCAAACTGCCCAAATCAAGAAGGTAATGACATTTCAGCTGCTTTGGCCACATGAAGTTCTGGTATTCTTTTGAACTAATATGGTATTCAGTAAAGTATACTTTTTGCAGTAGATTATGCCCTCACCTCCAATAAAAACCTCTTTAAAACAATGCTGATTTTTGAATTCATGATTAGTTTTAGTAAATTAATATGTTTGGCCATTCTAAAATCCAAAATTATGATAAGTTTATTTCTGGGGGTATATTTCACCTTGATTTTGGCCCAGTTCTTTCAGTGTTCCATTACCTTTTTTACTGAATTAAAGTTAAGTGACTTAAAAGGATGGAAGAAAAACTACATGGTTGGAGTGTTTTTAGACCAGATAAATATAGAAAAGTAGAATGGAAAATGATACTCAATACCTAGTTGAACGCATTTCACTTCTCCTGGGAGATGTATTAAGACTGGAAGTCCTATTTTATTTAATCAGTAAAAAGACAAAAATTACAGTATGAAAAAGAGAAAGACAGGAATCGAAGAAAAAAGTTGCAGGTTGAATTATCTATCTGGATATTACTAGAGTTGTAAAACTTGGAAATTGGAATTTATGTGAAGAACCAGACAACTGAAGCCAGGATCACTTTTGTCTTCAATTTACCTTCAAATGGTTTTAGTTTACAACCTGCGTTTTGTTATTTGACACACACACACGTATATATAAACATACATGTAATTTTACTATTATATTGTCTTTCCTTTAATCGATGAATTGATTAAATTTAGACAAAACATTTCTAAAGTGAGGCTGAAAATAATATAGAAAATCTCATTGCTACTTGTGATGATCAAAAAAGGATGTATTTTCTTTCTAAAGTTATCTATAAATATGTGTTTGATATGTTGGACATGAATTACCCTGTCATGAAGCATTTAAAAGCTGATTTTCTTGTTAGTTTGTTAATTACCTGTTACTAGTATTTGACCAATACATTGTGCTGTATGTAAATGTGTAAATAAATATTGTAATTTTCTCACAAAGTCTGTGAGTATCACATTAAATTATGATTTATTTACCAGAAATTCCAAAAAGTCAAAATATTACCTTTGAGGACTTAAAAAAAAAAAACAATTATTATCAGAGAACATAAGCACAAATATAAGATTGTATCCATAAAAGTTTCTGAAAAACTTAGGGACGTCCTGTTTTTGAATGGGTTTGTTTGAGGGTATTATCTTCTGGTAATAATAATATAGATGAGCTTTATATTTTTATATTACGTAATTTGAGTTGAAAGTATAACATTTCATTACTGACTTCTCTAAAGCATTTCTATAGATAGTTGTGCTTTTATTTATGAATGACATACATAAAAGCCAAAAGTTTCATTGTCTAACACACTTCTTTTTCTAAGGAATAAACAAGTCTGATGTACTCACAGTGTCTTTCATTTACCTTAAAAAAATTTCTAACAGTTTAGTATGTGTTAAGCATTGTGTGACAATAGTGCATCTTGGATCATCTTGGATCTCCTTGTGGTACATACAGTTATTTACTTTTGTTAAGCCTCTGTTAAGGAAAACTGATTATCAATGAGGTTTTATAATATTGGTTAAATGCAGATATGTGCAATCTTAATTCTCAGTCTGAACACTTCAAAGATATATGAAGAAATGAGAACCATGAAAAAAAAATAGATGAGACCTCAGAGATAATCTAATTTAATCTTGTTTTTTTTTGTTTTTTGTTTTTTGTTTTGAGACAGACTCTCACTCTGCTGCCCAGGTTGGAGTGCAGTGGCACGATCTCAGCTCACTGCAACCTCCGCTTCCCGGGTTCAAGCAGTTCTTCCTCAGCCCCCTGAGTAGCTGGGATTACAGGTGCCTGCCACCACGCCTGGCTAATTTTTGTATTTTTAGTAGGGACAAAGCTTCACCGTGTTGGCCAGGCTGGTCTCAAACTCCTGACCTTAGGTGATCCACCTCAGCCTCCCAAAGTGCTGGGATTACAGGCGTGAGCCCCTGCTCCCAGCCTCATTTTATTTTATAGTGAGGAATTTGAGAGCCCAAGATTTCAGTAGCAGCTTATTGGCCAGCTGGCTCATTTGAAATTTAAAGTGCTAGTAAAGTTGCTGTTCCGTATTCCAGATGTGTCACTTACATATTTCAGGCTGTGAAGTTCACTGCGCTGCATCCTTCTACTTGCAAATTTTGCTTTATAACCTGTTGAGGAGGAGTGTGTGTGTGTGTGCATGTGTGTGTGAGAGAGAGAAGTGCTTTCAAATGTGGCTATAAAAGGTCGACTGAACCCATTATTTTGAAAAAATGTTACCTTGCTTGGCTTTCCTAGGGTGGTATGAGAGTACTCAGGTGATGATATAAGTGACAAAGTCATATTGCATCAGTTTTATACAAAGGCAGCTGTATCCCATCTGTGGGAGGAACAAGAGCAAATGAATGAGAAGTGAGGGTTCATTGGTGTGAAGACCATATGCACTGGCTTTTCTGGGATCACCCTGACATAGACATGTTTAAAATAAAATACAGTACGTTTGAAAGGGTTTGATATATAAATTCACAAATACACAATAATTGTTAATTTCTGTGAAGGAAATTACTGGTGCAAAATTACTGCCATGAGTTTATTGCAGCACTTTATAGAGCTGTCCCTCCCGGGGTTAAACTTCTCTCCTTGCTTCCACTTCTCAAATTCTTAGAGCTAAGGTGTGGATTCTTAATGATGTGAAAAGTAATCTAGGGGCCACCTCTTTGTGTTATCTCACTTGTTCTATTTAAAAGATAATCTTTACCAAATTGTAGTAATTCACAAAGTATACATTTACTTGGGTAAACTTCAATTCCTGAATTGAAGGGTTTTTATACTTTGATTTTCTATTCCTTTCTTTAGGGCCATTTTGGGGGGGGGTTTCAGAGAAGCAAAATTTGTTAAAGCACAGTCTTCATTGCACTTAAATAAAAACTTGAGTTTTTCACCTCTGCATAGTTCTGCTGAATTACAGCACTTGCAGGTGGTAAATCTTTGTATTCACTGAGGACAGCTGGTTTCCAAGTCAGATGATAATCTCTTACTGGAATTCCTACAGAGTATTTCATTGCTGGATTGGCATTTGAATTACAGAGTAAAAATTCAGCTATAAACTTCTCATTCTGGGTTTGCATTTAGCAACATAGTACTCTCAAGGAACTTATCTAAGTATTCAGCAACTTCCTCTTCGTGGCATTGGCACAAAATGGACTCAAGTTATTCTGACCCCGGCCATTCCCAGTGACCTTTATAAATGATGTTTTGAGTTTATTTATATTTCTAAGGAGCCAAGTAAGCCTTTTAAAAGGCCCTGATAGATGTAACTCAGTCTGTCAGGCAAGACCTGGGGCCACTCTGGATCAGGGTAATTATACCCTTTCTCAACATAGATCTATCCTAGGCCTGATCTGAACTATTCTCTGGCGGGATGAAGCAGGAACACTGTTCTCCAATCTGGCTTTATCTTAATGTCAGGCTATTTTTGCAAGCTCCTAATCCCAAACAGCTGTCTTGAAAATACAATATCATTTATTTATGCAATTGATCAAACAACTGAGTAGAGCTATCTATAGGGACAGAGCTATGTAAGAGGCATATGATCTCTGCCTTTTGTTCTTGAGAAGCTTATACTCTAATTGAAGCAATAGGATTCACATTCATAAAACAGGCTGATATGAAACAATGTCTTAATGGAAAGCAAAATAAGTGATTGGAACACTGAACATGGATGTATCCTCCAGAAGTCCCAAATTTGTAGAACACTCTTAACTTTATTCTATCCAGTTTTGCAGTCTATGCATGTGCCTAGGACCTGCCATATCTTTCAGTTCGCCTTTAGTACTACGAAGCAACACATATACAACCAAGCGCTTTGGGAGGCCGAAGTAGGCAAATGACTTGAGCTCAGGAGTTCAAGACCAGCCTGGACAATGTGGCAAAACCCCATCCCTACCAAAAATACAAAAAAATTAGCCAAATATGATGGTGTGCGCTTGTGGTCCCAGCTACTTGGGAGGCTGGGGTGGGAGGATCAATTGAGCCTGGGAGGCAGAGGTTGCAGTGAGCCAAAATCATGCCGCTGCACTCCAGCCTGGGCAACACAGTGAGACCATGTCAAAAAAAGAAAAGAAAAAAAAGAGACAATATGTGCAGATTTTGAGTTTTTAAAGCACAGTCCCCAGGACAAGAGTGAATCGGAAAGAGGGAAGCTTTTTCCCTGTCACTGGTTTAAAATAGGGGACCCATTGGAATTCATCAGTGCAAAACTCCATCAGGCATTGGGAAAAACTACTTTAAGAACAGACCTTTCTGACTGAGGGTTGATGGTATCTCTTTAGATGAAAAATAGCTTAAATGTTAGAGCTCATTACAATTACTCAAGGTGTTGCGGAACCAAGGGGCAGTTAAGTATTGCCTAAGTCAGAACAAGATGTAAATGGAACAGACAATGTGAGCTCAAGGATAACTCAACATGGAGGCTTGTTCAAAGATCACACATAAGGGAGGTCTTTCCAAGCCAAATAATTCCAGGAGCCTAAAATAGAACCATAATTAAGCAATAAGAAGTGACAGGGATAACATTTCTTAGTGATTATAGCATGCCTCAAGGGATAAGTCACTAGGCCAAAGGTTCAGATGAGGAGTGAAGTAAACCTGCAATGTCTAGTGTCACTGCTGTTAGAGGGAGAATGAGAAGGAAATGAATAATTGGAGTTAGAAGAGTCATTTCATGAGCCATTATTTCAGTTGTTGGGTAATATTACCATGTGTATAGTACATGTGGCCATTAGTTGTATCCAGCATTCTGAAGCTGTGTATTTATGCCAGAGCTTTCACTAAATTTAAAACTGTAGAATTAACTATTTCATATCTGTAACCAAGCAAAAACCAGGCAGTTCAGACACAAACTTGAAAATCAGTAGCCTTAAATATGGAAGTACAGTCTGGTAGAATTATGATTACAGTCGCTTAGCCCTGAAGCATGTTGGGTCATTTCCCATACTGTGGTTCATTCACCTCATGTGCATTTCCCTCAGAAATTACCAGTAGGCTTGGCTCCAGTGTCAGAGCCAGAAGCATCTTGAACTTTCTAGTCTGAGCTTTTCCTCCCCTACCACTATGCTGTTGGTGGAAGAGAGGGAGCACCCTAGAACTAGTGATCAACTAAACCGCACACTATGGTGGTGACAAGTCTTTCACCAGGATGAGAGATGAGATGCCCAGTAGCCATAAGATGGGGCGAGAAGTACCCAGCTCTGACAGAGACCCTGGAAAGCCCTGCAGATAGAAGCAGGTGTCTTATTGCTGTATTCCTCTCTGTGTTTCTGTCTGATCACTTCAGAAGATACGAAACAAAGAGGGCAAGGTCTCCTGTGGTCCTACTAGTCTCCCATGGCACAAGACAGGTCTGTATTCTTAACAAAAGTCTAAGCAAACAATGGCTTCTCTTAGCCTAAGCCCTCTTTCAGGGGACCAGTGCTCTTTCTTTCAAAATACGCTCTTTGGAGAAGATCTGAAGACAGTTACTTGAATCTTGGGGAAATGTTAAGTTAGTAGATTACTTCTCAAGAGTGTTTGCATTTTAATACAATGGAATATTTTAAAGTAATGTATTTTAATTTGTGTAGTATAACTCTTAGCCCCCAACTAAAGAAATGCCAAGCATCAGAGAGCAGGTGAGAGAACTGGGGAATGGTAGTGTACCTGGAGAGGACTTGAGGACATCCTGAAATCATATCCTACTGCATGGGCTGAGAAATGAGTTCCTGAAGCCTTTGCCTGTGCTATGATAATCTCCATTTGAGGAAAATGACCCCAACCTGTCCTTTTCCTATTGCTGGTGCAACATGCTAGTAGAGAAGGGAAACTAACTCTGCCATTCTAGGCACATATATCTGTTGTTTATGGCTGCATAACAAACCACTGCATAACTTAGTGTCTTGAAACAATAACCACTTTTATTTGCTCAGAGTTCTATGGGTCAGCAATTTGGTCT